AAAAAAAAGATAAAGCATCTAGGGTCATAAGGGCTTGAAGTTACACAAGCCACCATTCAGCAGTGAAGTAACAAGTCCACATGGAAGAAGCACATCGCTGGTGCCCTTGCAGATTTGAAACACAGTTGTAACCGGCAATCCTTCAGAAAATGAAAACTATAGTTGTGTCAAATATCTTTTTTGTGTTATCTAGACTAAAAATCAAACTCACTCTATGAAGTCAATGCTGACTCATAGAGACTCCAGGTGACAGGGTAGAAGTGCCTCTGCGATTTTCCAAGACTATAATTGTTTCCTGGAATAGAAACCCCTGTCTTTCTTCCTCAGAGCTCTTGTGGTTTCTGAACTGCTGACATTGTGGATCCCAGACCTTGCAGAGATCACAGCTCAAGTGTTACTTCGATGCCACTAGGGCTCCTCTGTAATTCATATGATCCCCATTAAAAATAAAAGCTATGCTATGAAATTGCATAGAATTTTCATATTCTATTCATAGAAAATTCCCTCAAACATCCAATATTCAAAGCACACCTATTCTCACTATACTCAAAGGTTATACAGACCTTATTTTATAATCTTAATTATGCTATTGATGAAGAATATTGAAATTATCATGGACTGGAGCCCTGGTGGCACAGAAGTCAATTCAAAGAGAACAAAACATCCTTTGTTGAAGGCTCAGAGGAGGAATGCCCAGAAGCTAAGTTGAGAATGTATTCCTTTGCATTTGTGAAAATTTACCCATATATTCAGTTCCGCTTCCTTTCCCATGTATCCTTTATCTTGGTTGCCTTTTGAGGGAATCTGACCACACCTTCCTCTTTTGTGTTCACATTGGCTATTGAGGGAAGAAATTGTGGACCTTTCAGATCACTTAGGTGAATTTGAGAAACAAGAAATTATACTGATCAATAAACTTCGGATGCCACTGAGTTTATATCTAATTTAAAAGATAAAAAGAGATGCAACTGGTTCTCAGCTACAATAACTGAGGAGGATATTTGTAAATATGGGGATTATTTGGAGGGAGGGAATATGAAGACTGTGGAATTAGAAACAGAAAGGGTCATAAAAGTAATATCCCAGTGGTTGAGAATGATACGGGACCTTTTATGCCCTGGTGGCATAGTGGTTACACATTCGGCTGCTAACCACAAGGTCAGAAGTTTGAAGTCACCAGCCACTCGCTGTTGAAAGATGGGACTTTCTACTCCTGTAAAGAGTTACAGTCTTGGAAACTCACAGGGGCAATTCTACCCTGGCCTAACGGGTTGCTGTAAGTTGGCCTCGACTTGATGGCAGGGTTTTTATTTTTTGGGTTTTTGTTTGTTTTGATGCTAAATCAAGAAGCTCCCAGGTGGTGTTACAAAAGTTAAGAGAAGCTACTGACTAAAGGATTAGTGACAGAGTGACTTCCTGGGAAAGGCTCGGCCAGCTTCTTTGGAAAGGTCATAGCTCTGAAAACTCTGGGGCACACATAGTCCTACTCTGGCACACGTGAGGTTGCTGTGAATCCAAATCCAGTCCATGCAAATGGTTTGGTCTGGGAATATCCAACACATCCCCAACACAAACAAACAACCTTCTAAGGAGAAAATAAACAGTGCCTCCTTGGCGCTTTTGGAGATTCGGGCCCTTGTTCTGGAATGTCTTTAGGAAATTGCCAGAAATGCTTATCCAGATGAGTGTGCCTGCTGATTCCAAGCTCAGCTCCCAGTCGCACCTGGAGCACTCGGGACTCCCAGCACTCCCAGGGACCTTACCATGATCATGAGAGGTCTGGGAATTAGGCATCATCGGTACGACTGCAAATCTTCCTCTGCCCACAGAAACTTCCCCTGTCACTAATTTAACTTAATGAAAAACCTAAAATTATCATGAAACATCAGGAGCAAACTGTCCATCTGATGTTTGCCATTCCATCTCAAAACCGCAGGCATCTATCACCTCCCTAGAGCCCTGCCCTGCAGTTTGTATCACCGCTGGGGGTTACCGCATCCGCTGGGTGTCTAGTCCGGCACTGGTCGTCAGCACACTACGTTGACCGCAGACTGAAAGCGCCCGGGGACCTCGCTCCGTGCGCGCGGCTGGGATTCTGCGCGCGGGAGGGCGACCCGGACCGCGCCTCCTGCTGATTGGCTGGGCCGGCCCCTAGGGGCGGGCTCTCCCCCGCGCTCGCCCGGCCGGGGGTGGCTATATTGGCACCGTTCCCGCTAGGTCGAGTAGCTTCCGAGCGCTGAACTGCACCCAAGGGGGGGTTCCTTAGGGCGGCGCGGGCGCAGGAAGGCGACCGGGGCTGCCGAGAGCGAGCTAGGCGCTGCGGGGCTGCAGTGCGATGAAGCAGCGGCTCAGGGAGCGGGCACAGGCGGTGTGGCCAGAAGGGCCGGCCCGGGGCCGGGGCTGCTGCTGCTGAGGCGCCGCGGCGGCAGGCGCGGAGACCCGCGAGCGGGGAGGAGCGGAGGCTGCGGAGCGCAGGGGAAGCAGGCGGGGCGGCCTCCCTGATCGCGGGGAACCATGCGGGTGGCCAAGTGGCTGACGGGGCTGCTCTACCAGCTCTCGCTCTTCCTCACCCGATCTTGGGAGATCCACTTTCACCCGAGGCAAGGTAAGGTCACCGCGGGGCGTCTTGGGGGGCTACCGGTGGGAGATCGGGTGGAGCAGCCCGGTGGCTTTGGGGGCACCCTGTCTCTGTTTGCGAGGCACTAAGATCAGTCCACGTAAAGCATCCCCCGAGGGGTCACGGCCGCGCTGGGTTTCGAGGAATCCCGCGTGCCGAGGACGCCACTCATTTCCCGGGCGGCGCTCTGGGGACGCGTGGGCCGGGGTGGCGAGTGCGCCCCAGGACAGGAATTGGAGACAGGGACCTGAACGGGGGCTAGGGAAAGAGCTGGCCTTCTCAGGGCTGCAAAGGGGAGCAAGTGTGTGTGTGTGTGTGTGTGTGTGATGAGCATAGCTTGCACACGTGTGTGTGTGTGTGTGTGTGTGTGTGTGTGTGTGTGTGTGCCAGCGCGCGTGCCAATCTGCATGTGCGCATTTGATCCGCCTTTGATACCGAGCCCTGGGACCTTTGGCAGGGACATTTTGGCCGATCAAGTGTGGCATTGAGGAGTTGAGAACGCGTGGGGGCTAAATGGCATATCACTGTGGTTGCAGAAGCCCTGGTGAGGTCACTGCCCTCCTACGAAGTGGTGACCCCCGTTCGGGTCGATGAGTTCGGAGAAGTGTTACCACAGAGCCAACACTTCAGTCGGAGGAAGCGCAGCTCGGAGGCGCTGGAGCCCTCGCCCTGGAGGACCCACTATCGCTTCAGCGCCTATGGGCAACTCTTCCATCTGAACCTGAGTGCGGACTCGGCCTTCCTGGCCGCGGGTTACCAGGTGGTGAACTTGGGAGTCCCCGCAGGCGGGGCAGAGGAGAGCGACAAGGCGCCCCTGGAGCTGCGCCACTGCTTCTACAGTGGCCAGGTCAACGCCAGGGAGGATCACACTGCAGTCTTCAGTCTCTGTGGAGGCCTGGTAAGCATGCTCCTTCCTATCCCTTCGTGACCTGTCAGGGTTGTGTTCTGGTAGTGCGCAGCGAGCTTCTTGGGTTTATTGATGACACAGGTGTTCACGGTGGGCCACCGAAGGTGCCTGCCCCTACCGTGTTTCGAAAGTAAGCCATCCCCAGAAAATAAGACCTACTTACAGTTTTGCTTCTAGCTGAAATATAAGGCATCCCCCGAAAATAAGGCCCCTGAAGGAACAGTAACTCTGGACTCTTGACCTTAGCGGGCGCCACTGAGCAGCTCACTGTTGGCCGCAGCGCAGCCGGAGCAGACAGGAAGTGCCAGGTCTCTTTTAATAAAACAATAAACAATAAATGTGTCCCATATTCTTCATGGAAAAATAAGGTATCCCCTGAAAATAAGACCTAGCGCATCTTTGGGACCAAAAATTAATATAAGACACTGTCTTATTTTCAGGGAAACAGGGTAGCAAACCTAATCCAGGGGTTACTTCTCCCTGCAGGGAGGAGAAAGGGTTGTTTCGACAGGCTCTAACCTGGGCTGCTAACTGTAAGGTCAGCAGTTCGAATCCCCCAACCTCCACATATGAAAGTCTTTACTCCTGTCCTGTAAAGAATTACAGTCTCAGAAACTCACAGGGGGCAGTTCTGTCCTGTTCTATAGGGTCGCTATGAGTCAGCATTGATTTGATGGTAGTGAGTTTGGTTTGATTTGAAACAGAGGCTCTGGTGTTGTGTTGAGTTACACGTTGGGCTGCTAACCTTTAACCCAGCAATTCAGCCTTCCAGCCTCCCCACGGGTGAAAGATGAGACTTTCTACTCATAAAGATTTACAGCTTCCGAAAGTCACAGAATTAGTTCTTTTCTGTGCTATAGGATAGCTGTGATTCAGAGTTGACTCGATGGCAGTGAGTTTGGCTCTCTCTCTCTCTCTCTCTCTCTCTCTCTCTCTCTCTCTCTAACTGAGGCTCACCTGCATGCCTCTGCCTGCTGGGCCAAGTCAAGCTAGAATCGACTCTGCAAATCGAGAGAGAATCTTTCTTAAAAAGTACCAAATACAGGAGAGGTGAGTCAGGGAGTGGCCTGGGGATTCTAACCAGAAGGCAGGTCATTTCACTCCTATAAACCCAAACCTCCACTCAGTTCTGCAATTGGGTTTACTTACCTTTGTTCCGTGGGTTTAGATTGAAGGAAGGAAGTAGCACAAACACAAGTAAAGTAAAAGGGCCGTCCATTGGAAATATTTGACAAACAAATATCTGTTTTGCAGTATGGGGATGGCCATTAGCTTGGGAACTGGGGAAGAGGGCTAAAAGTTTAAATGACAAGTTAAAATGCATTTCGCTTAAAAATGGAGGGCATCTACAAAGATTTAAATGCCAGGAAATAAGAAATAATCAGTAGAGTAATAAGAGCTCTAGGAGTTGGAGATTTTGTTAAAAAAAGTTCACGGAGGAGTGAAGAAATAAAATATTGGTCTTTGTGTTTCATTTGTTTTTCTTTCTCTATATCAGAGTTTTAACCACCTTTTTGTTGTCATGAACTTTTTTTGAATTCTGGGAAATCCAGTAACTCTTTTCAACATAATAATTTTAAGGTTGTAAACTAACCATTTAAGTGAAACCAGCGATTAAAATGTGTTACAAAGCCCACTTGGTGATATGATAATATCACAAATTGATTTATGAAAAACAATTAATATATTAAATAATAGGAGCTCCTTACTGGTTCATTTTATTACAATACTTTTCTAGGAATGAAGAGTATAAAAAAAATCTTGTTGCACTATTCAAAACAAATCGGTGGTTTCGCCTACATTCATGATGGCAAGAAATGCTAAGTATCAATTAGAAGTTAGTGGAAATAAAGATGTAACTTTGCCATTCATGTTCATAGAACCCCAGATTAAGAATGCTGATTTTAAACAAAAATTACATTACAGTTACAGCCTTGGAGACTCACCAGGGCAATTCTACCCTTCCTGTAGAGAGGGCATGAGTCCATATTGAGGCAGTGACAGTGCATTTGCCTTTTTGCTGAAGTAAGATGCTCCAAGATATTGTAAAAGTTTATCACTGTTCTTTGATTGAGTTGGGAAAAAAAGAAAAAATCACATTTTTCTCCAGACCAAATGCAATACTTTATCGTAGATTGATTTAAGAGCGCCTTGTGACTGTGAGTATTCATCATTACAGAACACATTTTCTCCTTTCATGCTATTATCTTTAGCTGTATTTACATGGAATTCTTGAGCGACTTCCTTCCATTCTGTGGTGGATAAATGGAAAATGTTTGCAACATCAGAATGGCAGAAGTCCATGCGACTAGTTGCATAGTCACCTATACATCAAAGGAAAGAAAAAAATTCTCTTTTCTAGACCCTTTTAAAATTATGTTTAGTTTGTCTAACAAATCCCATATTTACTACCATAGATTTGTCGTGGTGATATGTATTCTTGATTTAGTATTTAGTATTTTATGACAGAATAAAACTCCAGATGGGAAGCATTATTAAGAGTTTCTGCTCATATGGATTCATAGTGTTGTCATTGTTTAAGTTCAATATCCCTTTTCAATTTAGAAAAATAGTTGGAGGTATTTTTGAATCATAATAAGAGTTCATATTTTTTCTGATACCCTAGTAACTTTAAAAATTAAGTCATAATCATATATTAACCTGGCTTATTTATATAATTGCTTTTGATAGACTTATTAGCAACAATTATTTCTATTCAAGAATTTAAAATTAATTTGTAAAAATAAATTTGATCTTAGTTATTTCCATTGTAGGTTGGTAAGGCTGAGTTGAGCATATCAACCATTGTAGTAATGGCAAGTAAGGAGCTAAACTTTTTTTTCTGTAGTGCAATTGTGATCAATTATAAGTCAAAATTACTAATGAGATTAGTGACATTTCTTACTTTTGATATGGTCTCAGAAACAAATCGATAGAAATGTGTTTAAACAGGTCTCTGGAATCAGTGCATGGTCATAAACAAGTTCTCTCAGTAATACACTTGTCTTCGTCTCCTTATGATGCCTTAAAAAAAATCCACTTTTGAACGAGGCTGGGCTATTGATGGCCCTCAATAGTCTTCAGTGTCTAAATGAGATATAAGTCCTTGCCAATCTCAATCCAGAGGAACCTTTCATGATTTGAAATTTAGTTGATGCAAAATGACCTTATCTTGGATATGTTATTTGACCTCTTTCTACATACGTAGAAAGAGCAGCAGTTAAAAGAAATTTAGAAACATCCAATCAAAACAGTGACCTCTAAGTGGGTCTGCTGGACCAGTAAAATTCAAGACAGAGAGGTCAGCTCAGGAAGTTGTGGAGACTGTTTTTTTTTTTTATTCCATAGTGGTATAAAGGGCACAGGATAATCTTAGGGCCTTATTAAGAAACCGTTAGAAAAAGAAAGAAATGGAAATTTGTATTGGAGGAAAAAAATGCCTTGCAAGTTTCTCTGAGGAATACTTTTCCGTCAAAACAGTGCACTTGTACATTCTTCAAGGGTGGTAAGTGCTGCCCTATGAGAATTGTGTTGGCAATTCTCACCCCTGCCACCCTGCTCATGCCCCCGAAGACTTCTCTTCTTTCCCAAATTCAGAGAATGTTTAAAAGAAACTTGATTTGTGTCCTTTGAGGATGCCCAAAGTACTGTTTTGTCATGCTATGAACCGAAGACTACAGAATTCTTTGGGGAAGGGTTAGAGAGATGGAAACATTGCCTTAAAAAATGTATAGATCAAGATGGACATAGGCCAAGATACAATAGCCTTTATATATATATAATATTGATATAAATATATCTATAAATAACATTTTATACCATTACCTTTTATTATACTCTGTTATGCAACCATTATTGACATCCTTTTCCAAGTTATTCTACCACTATTAGCATAAACTGAATGCCCCTATACAAAAACTCTTCCTCCTTCATCCATGTTAGCCCTTGGTCAACTCTGGTTTCTTTTCTTTCATTTTCCTTTTAGTAGTTTTCTTGATATAAAATTCATATATCATACACCTCCATTGTTAAGTCACCTTTAAAAAAAGTTGTATATACATCATTACAGTCAGTTCTAGTGCTCTCTCCCCAGTCTGGCATTCATTGCTTGCTCCCCGATTCCCTCCACCGGCACCCCCCAGCCCCATAAACCATTGCATTCACCCATTCCTTCTGTGTTTCATAAACTGTGAAACTTAACAAAAACACAGCAGAAAGAGGAAAGCAATAATACTAATAATATAAAGATAAAAATGAAGAGTAAGAAAGAAAAGAGCACCAACAATATTAAAAAAGCCAGAGAAGAAATTTCTGTCACAGAACAAACAAGAAATGTCTAAGCATAAAGCAAATTTAGATTGGGTTAAGAGGGAGGTTGACTGGCCAAGTATCGTAGTATGCCATAGTTTCATCTACATAATCAAGTTTACAATAGTCTCTGTCTAATAGTAATGCTGTTCGCGTACCTGGGGCTGCTTTAGTAAAGTATCACAAACTTAAAAGAACAGAAATTTAGTGTCTCATAGTTCTGACTGGGAGTCTAATATTGGCTATGCTGATTCTGTCTGACGCTCCTTGACTCTCTCCTAACTTCTGGTGATGGCTGGCGATCTTTGCCTTTCAGCCCTAGTAACTGCCTCTGTGAGCACGTGGTTCTCTTTGCTCTGTGTGTGTCTTGTGTCTTTTTTAGGAGAACACCCTTAACATGGATTAGGATTCACCCCAATCCAGCATGACATTAAGGAGGTGCTTCAAAAAGTCCATGGAAAACTCCATTCTCTTTTCATTCCATTTTACTACCAACTCTTTGACGCTCCCTTGTATGTTAATTGAGAACATCCTTGAGAACCTATTTTCTAACAAAGTTATATATCAAATAGATTCCAGGGGTGAGGACTTCAACATAGTTTATGGTAGACACAGTTCAAGCCATAATGCCTCTGCAGTCATTTTTCTTAATGAAAAACTCATACGACACTTGGTTAGCTATT